CACACACACACACACCAGAGGGGGGTCGAGGGCCAGATCTCCCAGGAACTCCCCGATGCAACAATGCAAGAGAGTAACTAGTGGCTGATTGATTTGCTTCCTGAGCTGGGCAACGGGCCGGCCGGCAGAGGGAGAAGAAATTAGTAAAATTGCTTGTGTGATTCTTGCAGAAACAAAAAGGTACTGTCTGCTCTATGTGTTTGCCTGCCCAGATCTGGAGATGCTACCTAGGAAAAACGAAGTGGTAGACTAGTATAGTTCTGAGTGATTCATCGATCGGCATGTGCGTGGCTAGTGAGGAGCGCAGAGCACAGGTCTGCCGAGAAAAAGAGCGTTGAGGGGAGAGGCTACGCGCTACGGGATATGGCTAGGATCGAGCCTGGACTGGATGACTCTGTCAGCTGCCGCCTACAGCGACCTCAACTCGCATAATAAACACCAGAAGAGGAAAGGGGAAGCACCCCACCTCGCGCTCATGGATGGATGGAAGACGCGGCGAATCCTTCCCCAAAACAGCAGCGAGGGAGAAGAGGGGCTACCATGGTAGCCATGCGTCTAAATGAGCAAATCTTCAAGCAAATTAACTTTTTCATATGATAAAACAAGTCAGAGGGTAGGATTAGTTAGATGCAGCGATTGTGTACCATGAGGATGTGGAGAACTCGAAGAGGCGGCCGCGGGTGGAGAAGATGATGAGCGCGACCTCGGCGTCGCAGAGCACCGACAGCTCGTACGCCTTCTTGAGCAGCCCGTTGCGGCGCTTGGCGAACGTCACCTGCCGGCTGATCTTGTTGTCGATCCGCTTCAGCTCCACCTTGCCGCGCCCCATCCTTCCGCCGCCTTGCCGCTCGCTGGCTCTCTTCTTCCCCGGCCTCTCTCTACCTCTCTCTTCTTTCCTCTTCTCCTCTCGGATAGCACTAGCCGGAGGAGGAGGAAGGAGGAGCTGTCGTAGAGTACTTGCTTCTCTTTAAAGTTTATGCTATGGTATGGTATGCTATGGCAGGACGGATGGCACCCTGGCCTGGCCTACGCATGTACTGCACCGCACGTACGGTGCGCTCCCGTCTTTGGGTTTGGCCCCTTTCCCTTTCCCCTATATCTCCCTTGAAGATTTCCTCCCCCTCTATCTCCCTCTGTCGTCCTGTCAGCCGTGCTTTCTCTGTCATCGCCGTACGTGGCCCGGCCCGCCCGTCCCGTCGATCGCTCCCCCTAGGCCCTACCTGCCTAGCTTGGCTCGGCAGCGGCCATGGCTCTCCTCTCGCCGCGCCACCGTGCCGCGGCCGCTCGGCAACAGTGACGGGCGGGGCCGGCCGGAGCGGAGGGGTACAGTACGATCCGACGTGTCGACTGCTTCCAAGCACCAAAGCTTAGCTACGCCATCATTTCGTCGAGAGAAGAACTTCATTTTAACCTCGGCGGCCCAGACGATGGATCATGGATCGATGGATGGATCATGGATCGACGGCGTACCGGTACGATTGGACTCCTCCTCCCTGCTCGGGTTATGAGACACGTACGGCGGCTTTGGCAGACTTGAAAATTACATTTTTGGCCCCAAATTCCCCGTTTGATGTGTGGTGGGAACTAGCGGTGGGAATTTGCGGGGAAGCTCTATCCCGGCTGAAATTGGGAGGCGACCAAGGAAGAGACGCCTGTGAATTGACCTCACCTCTTTAATTCCCTTTCCACTTCCCACATCAACTTCTTCTTTTTTTTGCTGGTGCCCTCATCAACTTCTTTGCCCCCAATCAACAGCGGATTATATGTCTCGTACCCCGGCAATGCTACACATACAGGTTTTTACAGGAGTTTACAGGAATGATTTGATGTGGCAGGTTTTCATTGGGTGTAAGGGGAGGATGCGGGCCCATCCCCATGAAAATCAGGATGGGATGGTTATTATGTTTGGAAGGAGTCCGCAAGAGCCTGTAAAGCCCTGTACGTGTAGCATTTTTGCTCGTACCTCTTTTACTCTCATCCCGTATCACTATTTTGCTCCAAACAAGGGCCCGACTGCTCACAAATGGATTCCGTGACTCTTTAAAGAATAAATGAGTACATTTTTTGCACATAGAAAAAGGGTAGTTGCACGTTCCTACAAACGCAAACCCGTGTATGTTTTTAAGAGCAACTGCATGGCAAAACAAAAAATGATTTCAAATCGATTCTGCAAAATAAATTTAAGAGGTAATATCACCAGAAGTCATAGAACTTGCGCTCCATGTTCAGTTTAGTGCTAAAACTTTGATAATACGGAATTGTGGTCATTCAACTTGTCCTCGCGTGCAAATACGGTCACTTCATCCATCTCTAGACACATATTGTGCTTACGTGGCATGCCAACGTTGCTATGGCCCACTATTAGTGACTGGAACAGCACGGTGCTATGTGTGATGTGTGCATGTTCTTTTTACAGATACACCCCGCTCTTATTTAATTGTAGAAGCTCCTCATCAGCACGTCTGGGCCTGCTTGTGAGGAATAAATCTCTCCTTTTTTGCGGATATATATAAATCTATCCTTGACATGGGGTCCACTTGTCACCGCGTGGTGGTATGAGAGGTATGAGAGGAATGGAACTCACGAGCTCATGTACCGGCATACCCTTTGCCAACCAGGATGCTAAGTAGATTGTCACGTTAAATAAGAGAGACAAATTAATTTATAGTAAAGTCAGGCTTTTTTCTCGATTCTGTTTTTTGCCAGGTGTGACCGAAAAAACCAGTTTTCAGAAAATCTCGGATTTTGAAACCATAAAGTTCTAAATCAAATTTGAATTAAAAACCAGTCCAAGATATAAGCAGATTTTTTTATTCTGTTCCGAGAAATCCCGGTGGTCACTGAACCTCATGCCAAAATTTCAAATGTATTTTTTGAATTTAAACACGCATAACTATATCAACTAAGATTTGTATGCACATAATCATACAATGCAGTGCATATTTCGGTGCCACAGCTTTTGCTTCATCACCCATGGTCACTTGATTGATTCCAATGGTCTCCATCATTAATTTTAGCTGATATTTATTTGAACTCCAAGCCGGGGTCACCCAGCAGATGCGGGTTACTAACCGCTGGAATCATGCATAAGATTTGTTCTTTTCTAGGTTCAGTTATATATATTTTAATGCTAAAAATTTGAATTAAAAATTTGTTTGAATAAATTTGTGCGACTTTTTTGAAATTTCCGAGATTATCTAGAAACCAGTTTTTCTAGCCCGTACCGAGAAAAAGAAATGTTGGATACGATTAGTCGTTGTTGCCAACATACAAAATTATATGTTTCTCCTTAGACACATGAGCAAGTACGAATTTCGAAATGGAAACAAAATTCACTCATCCTTAAAAACAAATCAACAATTTTTTTTTTTGAATTCGAATCATTTTTTGGTTGTCCCGGCAAAAATATATATTATTTATTGGGTTGACCAATATAATACAATATTCATCTCATTACTAGAAAGGCAAGGACGCCTTGTGTGGGTGGTTAGCACCCGTGACAAGAATGAATTTGGTTGTTGGTTCGAGAGCTCACATCACGATTATTTTTTAATCATTTCTGCAAAAATAACGTCACACGTAGCACCTCTTTTCTCTAAGGATGACGTCACACTAGCGCCTCCAGCACCAATAGTCACTGCCAGTGGGGCCATGCATGCATGTCACGCCACACAAGCGGCGGATACGCCCGCATATGTACTTTATGACCGTATTTGCACGATAATGCAAGTTTAGTGACCAAAAGTCCGTATTTTTAAAGTTTTGGCACTAAACTGAACATGCATAGCAAGTTTTATGACTCCCCGTAATATTAACTCTAAATTTAAACATACAAAGCAAATGTTCAAATAAATACAACTACAAATTGTAGAGATGATGGTCGCGCATTTGTGAAGTGCACAACTGGTGTAGAATAGTTGTGCAGTTCATATATGGACTACAGGAAAATTACAGATTCGATACAACAACTAGAAATAAAGGATGCTTGTAGATCATAGCATATGTACATGCAATGTCATTCTATGTGTTATATATTGTCGATCGACGTATCTTTAATTACATAGCTGTTTTTCTTTTCTTTACTGAGACACAGTAGGCTCGTTGTAATTCTTTCATGGATGTTATCTCCGTTCCTTCGAGGATTTATTATCTTAAGTATTCTTTTTGTAGTAGATAAATGCTGGCATGGTGGTGGTTCGACATCCGGCCTTGCGACAAAATTGTCTCTGGCTAGAATGCATTCGGTGGTCTTAACTTCTGTCTTGACACTAGTGCAGAACCGGGCAATAGCACCGGTTCGTAAGGCCCTTTAGTGCCGGTTCAGTAACCGGCACTAAAGTGTGGGCATTAAAGCCCCCCCCCCTTTAGTACCGGTTCAGCATGAACCGGTGCTAAAGGGCAACCACGTGGCACGAGCCAGCTCCGGGGGCGCGTAGGATATTAGTACCGGTTGGTAACACCAACCAGTACTAAATGTTTGGGTGTGTTTTGGTTTTATTTTTTATTTTTACTTTAATTTTGTGTTTTCAATTTAATTTGGTGATTGTTTTACATTATAATGAGTTGTTAAATCATTAGGTGAAAATACTGCATATTAGTTTGACTGGATGCATGTGGATCCTAGCTAAGTCATCAAGTATATGTCATATCCATATTATATATACTTGATCACCTAATCTTGTTATCGAGGTAATATGGATATGGAATATACTTGATCACTTAGCTAGAATCCATCCAGTTGAAACTAATCTGCGGTTTTTTTCATAAATGATATAATAACTCATCATCATCATCATATTAATATAAAAACTCTTGCATCATATATATCATCACCAACAACAGTTTTCATAGCTAGCTAAAAATCATCATATAATAGTCGTCTCATTACCACTACTTAATCATCATATAGTCATTACCGCTATCTAATCACCACCAACACTAGCTTAAAGAAGAAACATTTACTTGTACCAAAAGCAAAGATATCATCGAGTTCAACATGGTAATGATATTATAAGCGTTCATAACACCACAAAAGCAAATCACTCTTTGAGATTAAGTTCAGGACAAAGAACACGGACATGAGAGGTCAAGTACTAAGAGTATGAACTAGCTAATCACTCCTGCTGCTTTCTCTCAGGTAAAATAGCATAGAACATGTATAGCTTTCCTAATTCATCATATTGGAGCATGCAGATGAACCTGTCTCCTAATCGTGGGTTGCGCTTTCTGATTGCTGCCCTCTAGTACTTCTCTGCGATCGTTCACAATTTTGCTCCAGTCTTTTACTATTAAGTATTCCTCGCTATTAGAAATCATGAATGCACTAAAGTGCATTGTAGGATATCTTGGCCGTAAACTAACAATATTCATGGTACCTTTAGTCTCGATTCAATCAGGCACAACATTCATCGGGAGTCCCTGTTGAAGAACATCGTATAGTAACATACTTAGCAATGAAGTTTAGCTTTAAAAAAATAATGTATGCAAAAGATGCACTGAGAAGAAATAGTAGAAATTTTACCATCTTTCCTAAATATATGTGACCGTAGTTCAGTAAGAACACTATTGGTCGCACGTTTCGAGTACTAACATTTCTAAGTGCAGGAATTTTTTTTATCTTGACAGCATCAAGATCCTCAAGCCATGAAACATAATGACTTGTCTCCTCGCAGTTTAGTTCAGCCCCGGGACAGTGGACGGTCCTGTCTACTAAGCGCCAGACATGTTTGCTTGATTGGAAATAAGTTGTCAATATAAATTACTTGTCAACTCTTTTTGAATAAAAAATATCGAAGACATAAATATGGTTGAGAAACTCATATAATGGTA